CTGCGGCAGCACATCTAGACAGTTCAACTCAGTTTATCTTTGCCAGTGGCGGAGACCGAAGGTCTGAGAATGTTTGTGTGCTTTGATAAAAACCTTAAACATGGCGTACGAAGTCCTTACTGTAGACGAAACGTTTCCAGTAAAGAATTCTGTTTGGAGGGTCTCTCTCTCCGCAAGTGGCTGCCATTAGAAGTATCCCAATTAGCAAACACCATTTAGTAAGATTTAATAGAATTCAATTCTGTCCCTCCTTCCCGATACAAGAATCTGTTAAAAAGGGGGCGCATACTACGCAGGCAGCAGTTTGTTAATGAGCGTGATTTGCGTAGATACTCGGAAATATCTTCAAACTACTTCTGTGTGGGCCGTGGACTTTAATTTATGTTCCAGAGTATTTTTTTCTTTTGAATGTACCTAATTCATCTTTCATTCTGAAAATAATAAAAAAAAAACTGTTCCCCTCATGGGCGCTGGTTTCATGCGTCCCGACCTAACAGGACTTTTCTGTAGAACCTGTACGCCATGGATGTGCTCAGAGCTCAACAATCATCACGCCCAGTACCGCATAGGAGGGGAAGGAGAAGGACACCACTAAGAGTTGTGTATTCTGTACAGACGTGCGGCAAACTCGGGGCTGCGCGCGCGTCTGTTTTCTAGCGTGAGGTAGGCATGAATGCGTTAAGGCCATGCGAGAGTGAGTCACTGACTGCTTGATCAGTTGCTGGGCCAATAGCCGTTTGTGACATCTGTGATTGGCTGTCCATGAAGCAGGCCGAAAAACTGCAATCACGTGATTTCTTGCGTGGCCTGGCGCCGGGGTTGGAAAGCCCTACAAACTTTACGCCTATCGAATTCTGCTAGCCTGCCGTACATATATATATGCCTTTTTTGTTTTCTTCTCTTGGGTAAACTTTTTTTGTTTTCCCTCTCGCCCTTGTAGGCTTTCAATGTTCTTTCTGCAGAGGAGACTCCAACCGGCCAATCACAGGCCAAGTCCTGCCTACTCAAATCTCTTAAGCTCGATCCCAACCTGAGTGATGCCTGGTGCGAGCTCGCTGAAGTTAGTTGGATGGAAGGAGACCCAGAGAGCGCCATTGCGCCATTACGATCTGCTCTGAAACATAATGTGAGTGAGCTCTCGATTTAGTCTGTCTCTCTAGCATTCATTCGCTGCGTAGAATTTAGGCAAAACACCTTTCGGTAAAGGGGGCGTATATGTGAGACCACACCTTTGTTTACTGTGAATAAATGTCTACTTATTTCGTAGTAGTAGGTGTATGTTTGTATTACTCACTACAAACGTAAGACATCTCCCATGCACATGTCCTCCCTGCCCTCCCCCCTCCCCCTACATCGCCATTATCACCGGTCTGGTATAACAGAATTCTGGGGTTTTTCGTTTCCGTGGTTTCACTTATAAGCTATTGGTACCCCCTTTACGACCGAGAAATGCTACTGCCGAAGCGCGAATTT